TTTGCAGTTGATCAAGGACAGTTGGTGGGATTTCTTCCTGGTTATAGCTGCTGAAAAATGATCTCCAAGCTTCAATAGCAGTCACCTTCTTCCTAATATCATTACGTTCCTCGATTGGCTATTAAGAAATGAAGTGCTTACTAACAAATTTAATTCATGTTGGTAATTTAATGTCGTGGTTTATTCTAACCTTTCCCAAAGAACAGCTAACCTTTGAAATGCCCAACGCAGCACAGAAACAGCAAATTATTACTATTTTTTAATCAAAATTAGGAGTAGTAATTAAAATCAATACAGTATAATCTGCCATTAATAAAATTCCCCCCAAACATTTTTTTAAAAAAAATCCCCTGAAAAACTTGGATAACTATAAACATTTATAAAACTGCATATATACTATTATTGGTTAATAAGACAATTATTTATACTATCAACCTATCGAAAACTTAAAACTCTTCGCTTCCGTTGTCAGTTCCTTATGAGGCCACAAATATATGACCATCTGTTGCTGTTACGCCGGTGCGGCAAACCGGACAGTTTGGGCGGTTCAACGAAATCCAGGAAAGGAGGCACCGGTTGTGGTAAGAATGGAGACATGGAAGCAGACGAATTTCCTGCCCCTCCCGGAATCGAGAGAGACAAATGGCACAATCGGGTTCCGCCCCTTCCTCCTCCTCTTCTTCTTCTCCCTCCTCCTCCATTCCGTCGTTTTCCATCACCGGAGGATTTCCGGCAGTCGGAGCCGTCTGGCGCCTCCGGAGATACAACAGCAGGCCAGTTACCAGACAAATCACCCCGAAGATGATGGTGTAGATGATGATTGGGTAGTTGGTGGAGGAGCTCGGAGGGCTTTCTGGGTGTAGTTCGGTGGGATCGATGGGAAGGATCTCATTTGGTGGTGGTGGTGATGGTGGTGGTTCTTCTGGGGTCAGTGGATACTCCATCAAGGGAAGAAGGGACGAAAGTGTGAGCGAAAGGCAGAGGCAGAAACCAGAGTAGTGCTCAAGGTGTTGAAGATGTCTAATTGATTAGGCTTCTGGGGGAATTTCATAATGTTTTATGATAAAATTTTTTTACATTTTTGTTAATGCATCCAAACCGTCTTTGCTTTTGAATTGACTCTGCAATTTTTAGGAAATGGCATGCATCTGATAATAATTCCGGTCTAATTCCTTCTTCATGGTAATTACCATCCATCCCCCAACCACCCCCCCTTATTATCTCTTTTCATCTTTCAAATTTGCAACTTTCACCGTCAGTTTAACACTCTTTGCAGCTATTAATGAGTGCATTTTATGTTTACTTGTTCTTATTGGAGAAATTAGCAGAAGAGGGTCTGCATTTTTTGGTTCACTAATTTCAGGCTTTACTTTGTGTGTGGAGATTGTGAGTCTCTGATTCATGCTATTTTGCACTTTCCTATTTCACTTACGCAAGCTGCTTGCATGATTTAATATAATTGTACGTTTCCAAAGAATCTCTTTTATTATAATTTCCTAAACCATTGGAGTCATTAATGTGTATCAGTGGATCCTTAATGACAATTCTGAATTTTGGTCACTCTCCGGTCTCTGACTTGCAGTGCTTCAATCAGGCTGAAAGCAAAAATTTGTTTAGACATATATAAGTTTCCCAATTTTGTATAATGTCCCTGGATAGGATCATAAAATCAACGGGCCTCTGGTTGGCACATTTGGTGCTCTCCACCCTAAATAGTTCTATATAACCTTCTTACTGTTCTCTCTATTGAGAATACGAAGTTAAATCTCTGGTGTAACTTGAATTTAGATTTGTTCGTCCCTGCCTATAACTTTATGCAGTTTTGCATTATTTAAAAGAAGTTCAGCAAGGAGGTGAATCTCAATGACATTTCATTTGAACAGGGAAGTGAGACCAATTGTTGCTTTTATTTCTGAGCTCACAACTCTACCGGGTCACCAATGGGCCATGCTGGGGGTAACTGTTCAATGTTTGGAAAATTGAGATTTTATTTTAGTACTTTTGTGTGTGAGTTCTCAAATTCATTTTACTTCTTTGCTTTGGCTAGTGAATTTTAAAAATTGTGTTGCTCAATTGTTTTATATCTTTAAATGTCACTGAAGGAGAACAATTTAGCTGGTTTGATTGTTTTGCTTTTGGCTGATGTCTTGCTGATGAGCAAAAGATCTCTTTGCTGTTGGATTAGTGTAGCTTTGTATTTAGTTAGCTTCCTGTATTTATTGCCGTACTGGAACTATGATCTTCCCTGGATGTACTTTTTTTTTCTTTTTCTGACACCTATGCATAAGACCCTATGCCGTAAGAAGGTGAGAGAAAAATATAAATCATCAACTTAAAGAAGAAGGGAAAGGGATTACATGGAAGAATTTGAAAGAAAAGAATCAATGGCCAAGTGTCCTAGTTTTGGGAACATCGCTATTGTATAGGATTCTGAAGTTATTGCTGGGATTCATAACGTTTGACGGTGGATTCGAACAACATTGTTCGTATGATTGCAGTAGTGGTTTCAATCACTTACTGCCTTTACTACTCCATTTAATAATTCTCTAGCCAAAATATGATCTTAGATATTGTTTCATTAAGCTAAAAACCATTCCATTGTGCTGCTGTTGTATCAGGTTGTATAACTACTGCACGGCGAAATCAGGACCCTTAAAAAACCAGGACTTACTGTAGAAAATTCTCCTGCAAAAATTGGAGCGATGTCTGAAGTATTCTAGCAAAGAGAGTTCTTCTTGAAGGCAGCCAGTATATTACAAACCTGTTTTGTGGAAATGTGAGTTTAAGATATCTCTGTTTGACCCTGAAAGATGGTGCAATGTGTTAACCGTACAAATAGTGCATTGTGCTCCATGACTCTTTATTTTGTTGTATTATATCTCAATTACATGTTTGACTTGTTAGTGACGAGTTATTTGTCTGATGGCAGGCTGTCCCTTGAGTCGCTATGAAAAACAGAACATGTATGGGATATAGGGGAAGTCATGTAGATAAATTGTGTTTCTGATACCACTACTTTGTTTGGATCTTCCATCTAGAGGCAGCAAAATTCCAGATTTTGAGACCTGTTGAAATAATTATGAAGTTTCATCTTATGTTATAGAAAGAACACAAGTGATTCACAGTTTCACACCAATCTTGATACACAGTACACCAGCTTTAAGAAGATATTGCTACGTACCCATGTCACGTATCCATATCGCTGGTAATATGTGCCTGTAAATATTTAGGAAGAGTTTAGCGAATTACATTGTTTTCTCTCAGCTTATGTTACATTGAATTTGCAGAACCTTCCTAGGGATATTAGCTTCAAAGTTATGCCAACACATACTGCCACACGTTGTTTAGAGGATGAGGTTGGTCCATTATACGAGAAAAGGTTCGATCATGGTTATATTACTTACCTTCAGGGGGGCGCTTGCTTGAGGGTGAGGCAGTTGTTTTCCAGTTGATTGGTGTTAGCAAATATAAGGTAATTGTTTTTTAAGTGGCCAGATACACTTCAATTTCACAGCTTTCCTTATTAGATGCTTCTGAAACCTTAATTTCTTGCATTAGGAATACTCATGATTATTTGTTCATAGTTACTTAAACCACTGTAAGAATTTGAAGGAATTGTATTCTCCCATACAGAAATAGCTTAAGCAAGAATTATTATATTAGTTTCAGGAAGCAAAGTTCTTGGTGGTTGGTTCCATCTTGCTGGACTGAATGTGGGCGGTTTCACTTTAGAAGTTATTTTCACTTTCTTCCAACTCTAGCTTTTTGCCTCTTCTGTGCAGGTTTTGAAAGTTAGACGGCCAGAAGTGGATGGAAACACTGCGCTCTTGTGATTGAGTTTAAACTCTGGAATAGGACCGAAAAAGAGTTCGAGGCATTGAGGATGAAGGTTGGATTTTTACTTGCTTGCATAAGCAAATTCAGAGGTCTTCCAGAGAAAGTCAAAGAAGATTCACCTGCAAAAAGATACACAGAAAGCTCAACTCAAAATTATATCCAAGGGGAGGAGATGAGGACTTTTGAACTAAAGCTCTAGGAAATGGAACAGAAAAGAGAGAAGCCTTAAAAGTAAGTCCGGGTGGAAGGATTGAGGTTCCTGGAAGAATCTAACGCTCCATAATGAGGAAGAATCTTTAGATGGTAAGTAAGTTCAGATCGATCGATGCACACATTCTTCAAGTTTGCTTGTATATTTTAAGTTGCTTTTTGCTGAGACTTATAGTATTGTGAAATTCGTTCGGCTAGGAATCTTTGCTGGTTATTTTCTGCAAACCAGATGAATTTTAGCCTTGATGAAGCTCTGTTTATGGTGGATCAAAAACTCATTTCTATCAAGATACAGCTACTGCTGGCTTGAGCTACACTAGCCTCCTGGATCAGGTGGTCGATTCAGTTCTCTTTTTGCAGCGCAAAATCAGGGTTCAAGCCTTCAACGACAATGGTTTTGGGGTTTCTGGAATTGGCTGTCCAGGAGACGTTAATATCAGTCTGGTAGAAACGTTTACAAAGCAGGATACAATTGGAATTTTGCGAAGAAACTTTCCTTATTTGATGAGAACCTAAAAGGGACAAGACGAACAACCCAATATCAGGGCCTTGCATTCGTTTAGCCCTAAAGTTTAAAAGCCTCTATACCCTTATTTTATTCCTTTCTAATCCAAAAAAAAAAAAAAAAAAGTGTCACTCAGCTCGCTAATAAAGTTTACAGCGTACTTTATTTTGCTATTTCCGAGTGTGAACTGGAAGCTTAATAATAAAGTTCATATTTGTCAAAATCCGCAAATAATCAGGAATAATTCGCTTTTCATACTTTACTACATGCTTGTAATAATATGATTGCACCGTGATTCTATTCCCAATCAATTTAATTACATGTCTATTGACCAAGTTTCTTTATTCTTATAACATAAATAAGCAATTGCAAGTCGCTCGAAACCCTAAAACGAAAACAGCGGCACAAACTGAGCACAGAACCGGAAAGAAACTCTTTCAATTTCTCCATGGTGCAGTTTTCCGGTTACCACAAGATGTATGTGTTCTTGTTCATCTTCTTCCTTGTCTTTCTTCCGGCCACAAGATGCATTGCTACTAATGATCATAAGTTTCATGCAACAACGCATTATGCGTTTTACGAGAATATGCGGAGGTGGAACCGAACATCTCCGATAAAACTAAACTACACTTTTTTACCGGAGCACATGATTCAGAATTTGAGTCTAGCGGATATTAGACTTTCGTTCCAACGGGCCTTTGGACGTTGGGCCGCAGTGATTCTGATGACATTTGTAGAGACGAATGATGCGAATCATGCAGATATCAAAATTGGATTTTATTTCGGAGATCACGGTGACGGAGTTCCTTTTGATGGGCCATTGGGACAGGCAGCCCACTCTTCCCCACCAGAATCTGGGATACTCCATCTTGACGGATCCGAACTATGGGCCGTTGATGAAAATACACTGAAATTGGAAGGGGCTGTAGATTTAGAATCCGTAGCCGTTCATGAGATTGGGCACGTTCTAGGGTTGAGACATTCTACAGTCAAGAATGCAGTTATGTTCCCATATACGCCAATCCAGAAGCGAAAAGTGAATCTTTCCAAAGATGACGTGGATGGGATACAACAATTATACGGAGTAAACCCTAATTTCAAACCTGGTCCTAACTGGGAGAGTTCGAGTTGCAGTATGTTCATGGAGACGAGAACTTGTCTTGGTTGGAGCATGCTATTGGCTATTATGATGGTTCTTCCTTTTTGATTGATTTGAGATTATAATAGACTTAGTTTTCTCATAGGTTATTCTACTTGTGATTTTTTTGTTTTCATGTTTTTATCCTGTGATCCTTAACGAGTTTCCTGTTGATTTCTTATCAACTATTTTCAATCTCTTAAGCTGGATATATTCTGGTTTACCAAAATGTTTGAGCGTAATGTATGCATCGATGGATACAGCTGTAGAAAATCAGGACTGCTAGCTAGTTAATCTAAGCGGGTTTAATATTGTTATAATCATTGATCCCGTGGAGCGTAACCACCGCATGCATATTTCACAAACTTCCATCTTGCCTTTTAATTATACAGCATTTTGAAATGTAATGATGTGATTGTGACATGCTAATTTTTTGATATGGATTACCATATTAAATATGGATTACCATATGGATTGTGACATGCTAATTTTTTGACATGCTAAATATGGTAATCCACATCAAAAAATTAGATAACCAATTCTGCATGTCACAATCACATCACTAGATTATTTAATGATAATTTTTTATTTGTAAATCTGTAAAATTTATAAATAATTAAATTTATCCAGTTTAATTTTTTCCATTAACCATATAAAAATTAACCTAATATGTTCACCTTTGACACTAGGGGAAAAAGCTTAATAAGAAGAATTAAAAGACAAAAAAAAAAAAAAGAAAAGAAGAAGCTAACAATAAGAAAGACCGTGCGAAACAATCAACATAAATTTATGACACTAACAAGAACCATAAAATGATATGATTGTGACATGCAGAATTGATTATCTAATTTTTAGATATGTGGATTACCATATCTAACTTTGCGCCATGTGTTCATGGCGCAAAGTTAGATATGGTAATCCACATATCTACATTTGTGCATATCTAAACTCTCTAATCCACATATCTAAACTCTCTTGGTTTAGATAAAAAAGAGTTTTCAATGGGACACATGGCGCAAAGTAAGATATGGTAATCCTCATATCTAAATTTGTACATATCTAAACTCTCTAATCCACATATCTAAACTATCTTGGTTTAGTGAAAAATGAAATAATTATTACAAATTTTTCTGGGTACGGAAACATGAAGACTATGAAACCAAGAGAGTTTAGATATGTGGATTAGAGAGTTTAGATATGTACAAATTTAGATATGTGGATTACCATATTTAACTTTGCGCCATGTGCCCCATTGAAAACTCTCTTTTAATATATAAAGATAAAAGAGAGTTTTCAATGGGGCACATGGCGCAAAGTTAGATATGGTAATCCACATATCAAAAAATTAGATAACCAATTCCGCATATCACAATCACATCACTCGATTATTTAATTGTAATTTTTTATTTGTAAATCCGTAAAATTTATAAATAACGAAATTTATCCAGTTTAATTTTTTCCAATAACTATATAAAACTTAACCTAATATGTTCACCTTTGACACTACGGGGAAAAAGCCTACTAAGAATAAAAGACAAAAAAGAAAAGCCTAACAATGAGAAAAGATCGCGCGAACAACCAATATAAATTTATGACACTAACAAGAACCATAAAATGATCATTTTACCTAAATTTAATATTAATTAACAAGGACTTCAAAAAAAATAAAATTATCGGTTCGAAGAATTTAAATCACCATATGGAGAATAGTGTTTCACCTTTAACACTACCAAAAAAAAATGAATAAATATACCTACTCGAAAAATTGTTTTTCATATATAAATCCGTAGATATCTTTTAAATAAGGTGAATAAAAATTGCCTCTCCTATATAAACTCCATAGATATCTTTTTAAGGTGATTTTTGTTTTTTATTTTGTTTCCCTTAAATTTTTTTAGCCAATTAGTTTAAATTTTTTTTTACTGATTATTACTTTTTTGTGCAAGAGAATAAGTATTAAATCTGCACATAATTAAAGATTACTATTAAATAAGATAAGTATAAAAAAAATTTTAAGAAATAAGTATTTAAATTACTTATAACATTAATATTAACACACCCGGATTGAAAAAAAAAAAAAGAAATAAAAGAATACCTTGTATATTGGTTGCTCATTATCTAAATTGTTTCATCGTAGCTAAGAGAATTAATACTCTATACGCGACTAACTAAATAGTTTTCTTTTGTCTATTTCTTTTTATAAGCATCTTGGAATTCAAGTGTGGCATAAACTTTTTATCTATGAATCTTCTAACCTTGATGAATATATATAATCTGTAAAAAAAAAAAAATCGATTACATACATTATTTTCTTCATATGATATAATGGTAGAAAGAGTTAAAGTTATGATGATCAAACGAAATGTAGAGATCAATAGGAGAGAGTTTTCCAAAATAAGAAAGAAAATTTTAGTTATTTGTGAAAGACACACGGTAAGAGAAACGCTTATTGAAATATTAAAAATAATTATATGCAGGAAAAACTTATAAAGAGAACAAGAAAATATTAAAAAATTAAGATAATAGTAAAAAATAAAATAATTATTACAAATTTTTCAGGGTACGAAAAAATGAAGACTATGAAACCAAGAGTAAATATTATATTATAGGAAAAATATACGAACAAAGTTTTAAAGAAATGTTGAAAAATATGGACAAATTAAGAGAATGCTTTTAAAATATGAAAAGCCATAAATTAACAAAACAAAAAATATGAACAATAATTTATATTTGATGATTTAGAATATTAAAAATTATTCCAATTGTACTTAGAATAACAATATTTTACGTTAAAAATTACACGATTGCAATTTATATCTTGAGAAAACCACATAACATGCGGGATAAACACTAATATATATATTAAAGAAGAGTTTGTAATCGACACTTGTCTTTCAATGAGTTAGTTCAGGACAACTGTGACACGTGTCGTTTCTAATAAGGAATTTATTTACACAATCAACAAATATCTTACCTAATACAATTCCAAAATAGAACAAGATTAATTAATCATACTCTTATCAGTAAATTAAGAAATATATTTACAGAATAATCAATCATTGTGAATGAGGTGCTGGTTCAATGGTAAAACCACCATTGCTCTCAACAGGGGGTTACGAGTTCAAACCCACACTCCAACAAGACTAAGGCGTGGCTCTAACCTTACCCATTGACACCTCTAGAGGGTTAGTTATGGCAAACTAACTCATGAACTCCTAATTCTGCACCTGAGCTTGTCTCCCCGGGGTTGCCTTAGGTGATTTACCTCCCACTGTGGTTTGTAGGGTCTTGCAGTGGGCGTGGCTTTACCCATCTCTGGCGGGGTTTCCGGCGTTACCAAGAAAAATAAAAAATCAATCATCAATTAATTTAGATAATTAATAATCGAATCGTACCATATAATTGTAAATAACTCCAAGTATTTTAGACACCTGATATCTTAAGAGAACTTTTGTTAGATTGAGAGTATATTTTTTTTAAAATACTGTATTTAGAATACCAGATATTGAGTAAGTTGCTCAAACTGTCATACAGTTCCTAAAAAACTTAATTTTGTCCTTCATATTAAAAATTGGTTTGGTCCATTACATTTGTCTTTTATACTAATTTAGTCTTGTTTTTTTTACTTTTTTTAATACTTTACATTTGGCAGTTCTTAAGTTGACCATTTCCCAGTCAATTCAACAGAGATATTTTCGATAATGTATCTAATTTCAAAATAAAAAATAAAAATCAATTAAAATAATATTAATCATCTTAATTATATAGATTAATAATTAATTAAGAAATTTAAAATTTAAAATTTATAAATTTAAAAAAATCAAAAATCTGATTTTTTTTATCTGATGGCCCCTGTTTTTAGGTTCTTATTATTGGTCTTATTCTTTAATTTTTTTTTCTCCACATCCAGGAGGAAATTTGGGAATAGAAAAGTGTTTGATCGGGGAAAATAAAGAAAAAGTTAAAGAATAAGGTGATAAGATTCTGGATGTGGGCCCATGGGATAAAAAAAGGAATATGATTTTGGAAAAAAATGTTGTGAATTTTGAAATTTTAATTTTTGATTTTTTAAAATTAATTGTAAATTAATATATTATATTTAATATTATTTTAATCAGCTTTTTTTAATATATTTTGAAAATTAGACATTACTAAAAATACTCTTGATGACTTGACCAAGAAATGGTCAGCCAAAGAACCACCAAATGTAAAGTGTTAAAAAAAAAAGTAAAAAGGGACTAAATTACTGTGAAACACAAATGTAATGAACAAAATCAGTAAATTTTTAATGTAAAGTACCATATTAAGTTTTCTGACAGATGTACATGACTCTTTGAGTAGTTTACTTTACTTATTATGGATAAAAATATTTTCTCCCGACACTAATTAATATTTCAAGTCATTAAATTTTTAATTGAAAAATTACAATAAGAGGTACTATGCCATCATAAGCAAATCGTCACACTAACATGGCAAACATAGGTTTGAAATTGGAAGAATACATTTACCGTAACAAGTCTTATAAGTCTTATTCTTTTTCCAATTAAAAAAAATTACAATCGTATCCCTTTTAAAAAATAAAGCGTGAATAACAAATTATGCAGTTTTAAATCATTATTGATTAATATATAGGGGCTTTAAGAAATTATTATCTTATTATTTTATTAATTTTATATTTTATCAGAAAATTTATTAATTAATATATATTATTATATTATAGAGTATTACTTCAAAGATGTTATGAGATTTTATGAAAATTTTATAATACAATTATTTATTAAGTACTCTCTATGGATATTTTCTTTAAAAAACTAATAAAATTGCTCATACCCGTGACGACTACGAAATTGAGGCGTGATTTAGCTGGTCAAATTATATAGTCACAAACCTAGATAACTAGTATTAAAAATAAAGATATTCGAAAACATGAAAAGCGTTCTAAGGAAGAAAGATTTTTGGACAACAACAACTGATACGCATGAAAAGAAAATAAAAATAAACTAAATTTAACTTGGAAATATATGCTACAATAGTTTAGTGAGGTTCAAACGGTGAGGAAATTTAGTGAA